AATGTCTGCTCTTATTGCGGTAAATGCTTTAGGTCCCATCCAAATCTTGGTGCTCACGTATCGCGGCGACACAGAGCCGCGGCGTTTAGATGTGAGCATTGCAACTCGGAATTTATCTCTAATAATCACTTACGAACGCATTTGGGCAAAGCACACGGCACCAAAGTAGTGCAATGTTTGGAGTACAAAGAGTGATTCACGTCGCGCTATTTTATGCAGAGGCATTTGATAAATTCGCATCAATCTGGTCATAAATGTTCTTACTGCGGCAAATTATTCATTAGGAATTCATTTATGGTTAACCATATATATGTTCCTTGTGTCGACGACTTTATAGGGCCGCCTTGTCATTGCGTATACTTGCAGCACCTAATTAGCACTTAATTCCTTGCTATTAATATTTATCGTATATCTAATAACTTCATTGCGTTGCTAGCGAGACGTTTTGCTAGCAACGCAAATTTCAACAGTTCGTTGCGGTGAAAATTTTAGAGCACCTAATTTTTAAACTTGGCACCTAATTAGCACCTAAAAAGCCCCTAATTTTGGATTTTTACAAATACAAATTCCCGACTTTGCGTTGCTAGCGATACACAACTAAAACTTGCAAATTCTTTTCAACAATACAACTATTTTGCCGTTCAAGTGGCGAGGAAAGTGCCTCTGTTTTTATTGCGGAAGAAGTTACACGGAGTATACGGATTTGCGGAAACACACCCAATCACACGGCCCTTACACCACGAAAGACTATTCATTGAAACTAATAAAAGGAAATTACATTGAAATTAAAATCGATGTATCGAATATCACGTGTGAAATTTGCAATGAACCTTTCACTACATTCGACGAAATAATTGATCATTTAATTTGAAAACACATACAGACTTGCGGATTTCCGTTGTCTATTTTGCGACCAACAGTTTACTTACTTCGGAAATTTGGTGAATCATGTCAACAACGTTCATCCGCAAAATAATTATGTTTGTAATGATTGCGGTGTGAGTTTCAATAAGAAAAGAGATTTGGCGTTGCATATACGACATAACCATCGCCAAGGAGGATACTCTTGTCCAGAATGCCCACAGAGTTTCGAATCTCATGGCCTTCTTCGTAAACATCAAAACGATTTCCATTTCAGGAAATGTAAACGTTGTGGTATGAACTTTGCTTCCTATAGTCTACTATTGAAACATTTACAATGTGATCATCCAGATGACGCCAGCGCCAAATGTCCGCATTGTTCCAAACAATGCCACTCGTCTTCAAGGTTTAAAACAACACATAAATAAGTGTAAAGTTAATATGTTTGTACAAATAGATCAGCCTGTAGATAACCTTACCCTCGACAATATGCTGCAACCGAAAAAGAAACAAAACGTCATATAAATACGACAGAATATTCAGTGCGTTCTGAACATGTCTACAGCGTTACCGTTTAAGTTTTTCGCGAAATATTACTGTTTTTATTGCTCGAAGAAATTCGTTGAATTTGACGAACTAAGGGAACACACTTGTAGCGGACAGCGAGGAGGCCGCCGCCCCGTCGCCCCTTCACACCCCGGTGCGCCCCGCGCACCCCGCACACCGGCAGCAGATCACGCGATGTCGCCGACCAATGAGCGCGCGGCATCGCGGACGACGCTACGCACGACCCGAGACGCTCTCCGGCGAGATATAAGAAGGGCGTCTCGGTCGGTGAGCTGTTCATTTCGGAAGCGGCACTCGAAGAGAAGAAAACAGCAAGAGAAATCAAGAAAATCAAGACTCAAGAAGACTCCATTAAGAAGACTCCCCTCTGTATATAGTGTAATTAATAGTGCCATATTGTAAACATTTTGAATACAGTATAGTTCGACAGTACCATCTTTTCTTTAAGCAGTTGTCCCTAGCGTACCTCAATAATACAGTCCACTGCGATCCATAACAAGTTCTTGGTCCATCGTCGCCGGATTCAAGCCAGAAGAAAGAACATATTTATAGAAGAAAGAACATAATTACTGAAGAAAGAACATAATTATAGAAGAGAGAACATAATTATAGAAGAGAGAACATAATTAAAGAAAAAAGAAGATCATTACAGAAGATCTTCGAGGAAGAAAGAAGTACGTCGACGAAGAGAGAAGATCGTCGGTACTAACTCCTTCCTCGTTTCTTATTTACATCGACGTCATATATATTGTCTGTTTCCGGACAATTCCTGTTTCTTAAACCGCGTTTACGCGGCCGGGTGGTTGCTCCCTAACGGTGCCAAACTGTGACCATCTGGTAACGCCCTTGAGGCGGGAACGGCGTCCAATACGTGCGTCTTTTTGAAGACGATCGGAAGTCGCAACGAGGGACACCATCATGCGGAAGACAAGAAGCCAGAAGACACGGAACGACGACGAAACGCCAGTAGGAATGCGGATATTCGAGGAAGCACCCGCGTCCCCGTCCGATTATCTCGCGTCGGCACAAGCGCCCTCCGCCGCGCCGCAGCCCCCGCTCGCGCCCGCATCTATGCCCGCGCCCGCGCCGCCGCGCCCCGCTATGTCCGTGTCTACAACCGATCGCTTGGGAGAAGTTAGCACATCCGCGCCGCGCACAGAAACGCTCGCCGCGATAATAGAAGATCTTCCGACTACGGAAACTAGTTCGATAGTGCGTACCGTCGCGCCTGTAGCAGACGTTGTACATAGGCCCGCGTCCCGCGCCTCGTCGGTCCGTTCAGTCCGTTCAGCCCGGTCGACAGCTAGCGCAGTAGCAAGATTAAAACAAATCGAATATAATGCCGCGGAGGAACTAGCTGCAATTAGGAGGAAGCAATTGCAAATAGAGGAAGATCTCATCAAGAAGAAATATGCTAGGGATATCGCGCAACTGCAAGAAGAAACCGATAGGGAAAGCCTAAACGAGGACGAATTAGTCGAAAATAGGGTACGCGTTGATAGGTGGTTAGAAAACGTAGAGACTGTGCGGGGGGAGACGCCCTACCACCCGCCTCAGCCCGCGCCCCGCATCGAGATAGAGCAGGCCCCACCGAGGAGGGGAACCGGTTACGACCACGCTGAAGATGCCCAGGGGAAGTCGGTCGCGAATGACGTTCAACCGCGCCGCGTAAATAGGATACAGAGGGATAATGGAGTCGCCGTAGAAATGAACCAGGTGGATCGTCGTGTACGAGCTACGTCGCCGTCGCACGTCCAACGCCGCACTCTATCGCCTACACATAGATCGCCACATCGCCTTACGGATCGTAGATTACCGTCGCCGTGTCATAGGGATGTAGGTGTACATAGATCGCCATCGCCACATCACCACGCGGATCGTAGATCACCGTCGCCGTGTAATGATGTAGGCAGAGATAAATCGCCACATCGCCTTGCGGATCGTAGATTACCGTCGCCGTGTCATAGGGATGTAGGTGTACATAGGTCGCCGGCGCCACAGCGTAGGTTAGAAGAAAATAGGGATAGAGATAGGTCGCTCACCCCGCGAGGGAAGGATAGGGGTATAGAACGGCTGGCGGAAGCCTTAGAAAGTATGGTTAGGGTTAGACCAGCCGCCGCGAAACAGACGCAGGACTTGCCTATTTTTAACGGCTCGGCCGCGGAATGGTTAGCATTTAAAGCCGCGATGAATGAATCCACGCGTTTATATGGATTCACAAATACGGAAAATATGGCAAGATTAAGGAACTGCGAAGGATCCGGCAGACATTATGCGGACGGACACTGGAGCAGTGTTTCGGCCGCCCGGAAGTAATTATAGATCGTGCGTTAGAAGAATTAAATCGGGCCTGCCAGTCACCGCGCCGTGCACACCCATGGATCGTCGGGCGTGGAGAGCGGCGCAGGGGCTCGCCGACGAGTACTGGAGGCGCTGGGTGAAGGAGTACCTGCCGACGCTGGTCACGCGCGAGGACTCCAGAGATGCTCAGCAGCGCCAAATACAGGAAGAAGACCTCGTCGTGGTTGCAGACGGCAACCTACCCAGGAATGTGTGGCCGCGGGGCATCGTAACGAAGACGTTTCCTGGACCAGACGGCGTGGTGCGAAACGTCGAGGTCCGGACCAAGGGAGGAGTGCTGCGGCGGCCCGTCAGGAAGATCGCCGTCCTCCCGAGAGAAGCTTAGGCTCGCAGGCTACGCCGGGGGGAGGATGTAGCGGACAGCGAGGAGGCCGCCGCCCCGTCGCCCCTTCACACCCCGGTGCGCCCCGCGCACCCCGCACACCGGCAGCAGATCACGCGATGTCGCCGACCAATGAGCGCGCGGCATCGCGGACGACGCTACGCACGACCCGAGACGCTCTCCGGCGAGATATAAGAAGGGCGTCTCGGTCGGTGAGCTGTTCATTTCGGAAGCGGCACTCGAATAGAAGAAAACAGCAAGAGAAATCAAGAAAATTAAGACTCAAGAAGACTCCATTAAGAAAACTCCCCTCTGTATATAGTATAATTAATAGTGCCATATTGTAAACAGTTTGAATACAGTATAGTTCGACAGTACCATCTTTTCTTTAAGCAGTTGTCCCTAGCGTACCTCAATAATACAGTCCACTGCGATCCATAACAACACTACTAGAACACCCTGTCTGCGATTTAAAATCAAAAAGCTTGAAGAAATGTAAAGGAGACAGAATAACCGTAAAAGTAGATATAACAAAACTGAGCTGTAAAATTTGCGGCCAGCCTATGGACAATTTAGACATTCTAATAGATCACTTATACCCGAATACTGAAACGTCCCTCAAATATTTAACGGCTTGTCAAACATTTGAGCAGCTCCTAAACCCTATATTCGTATTCACCTATTTAAATTTTAAGTATCTCTTAAATTTAAGTGTGTCTCAAATTGAGTTGCGCTTAAACACTACTCAACTAAAAAATGGTATACTGAAACATCACTCAACGCGTTTTAGCTGTCAAATCAAATGTCAAATTGATTTAAGTACTCGTTATTATTAAGTGTGGTAGCGAGGACTCTCAAATCTGTTAAAAGTATTTTTCAAGTTTTAAATATGTCCGTTTCGTCGTTATCTTCTCTTTCGGACAACGAAACGCCTCTAAGAAGTCGAAGAAATGATATCAAGCTTAACGTTTTCGAAAAATATGACGATAAAGAATTTCGTGCGCGGTTCCGCGTTTCCAAAGAAACGGTGTTGTATTTGGATTCTATATTCGGCAGCACGATAAAACCAGTAACGAAAAGAAATATATCTTTGCAGCCCGTGGATCAAATATTGATAACCCTTCGGTATTACGCTACAGGCAGTTATCAACGAGTTATAGGGGACATATTCCACATCGAGCAACCGACTGTGCACAGAGTTACAGAAAAAATAGCGTATATGAGATCACTTTTTATAAATATGCCAACTGCTGAGGAACGTCTAGAAGTAGCAAATGACTTTTATGCAATTGCTGGATTTCCAAGAGTGATGGGTGCTATTGACTGTACGCACATTAAAATTAATTCTCCAGGTACATATTCTAATCATGAGCTATACTTATACTCCTACATTATCATATCTGTGCCGGACGGGCGTAACTCTCCGGAGTAAATGTTGTCGAAGATACTCCGCGAGCCGCTCACGTCCTACACCTATAGGTTCCGGAGGATACTTTCACTGCCGTCTCTGTATATGCTGTTGGAGAACTGTGGACTGAGGTTCAGAATTAAAAATGCACGATTTATAAATTAAAATAGCAAGGGAGTGGCCAGCGGTTCGACTGATTAATTAGTCGCGAAATTTTATAACTATTTATTTATTAAACAGTTGTTCAACTATGGTTGTTCACTATTGTTGGTCACTAAATATTTCAAACACAGATTTAATTAAAATACGCGGTAATATTAAAATATCTATTGGTATTAAAATTTCTATTCGTATTTTCAAAATATCTATTGGTAATATCAAATATCTATTCGAAGTAACAAATTTCTATTGGTGTTTTTCAAATATCTATTGGTAATATAAAATATCTATTGGAAGTAACAAATATCTATTGGTAGTATCAAATATATCTATTGGTAGTAGCTGGTTTTCTAACACTACTGACTAGCAGCTATTAATCAACTAAAATTAGTTGAATTTAACACTTTTGTAACTGCGAATATCAGTTACCACTTTTTCCGTCTAGCTAACACTTTTCACTATATGTAACGGCGAAATTTCCGTTACCACTTTTTTCGGCTAGCTAACACTTTTTCACTATATGTAACTGCGAATTTTCAGTTATCACCTTTTTCAGCTAGCTAACACTATTTTACTATATGCAACTGAGAATTTTCAGTTGCCACTTTTTTCGACTATGTGTAACTGCGATTTTCAGTTACGACCTTTTTCGGCTAGCTAAACTTTTTCTATTTCACTATAACTTTTCACTGTGTTCTGCTACTAGTCACTTCAGCTACTACCGGATACTACTGCTTGTTACTGGTAGTTCTTCCTACTACCACGTTACTGTGATTTGCCCCCATAAGGTAGACTTCGGCTATACTCTATAGAGAGCCGCTTGCCATTTTCCGGTTTTGCCTCTTTATTTTTAAACATTTTCATTATGTAATTAGCACAAATCGCAATATTTTTTATATAATGCTAATTTTTACACTAACACGCTATACACTATTAAATAGGCATTTTGGTCCTTTATCATTATGTGATAAGGGTTACTTAATATATTTACATTTAAAAAAGTTATTAAACAAAATGTACTAAATTTTTATAACAAATGTGCACATTAAATCTTTAATTTTACTATATTTATCAAATGCGTTTATTTACATAAATTATCTCTTTACTATTGCAATCTATACACCATATGCTAACTAAATATCATATTTACAATTCTTTCAGAACACAAAAATATTCTTATTATTTTCATATAAACTATTGCGCAGTTAATTAACTTCTAGAAAGTTCCACGATATGCTGCGCTGTGATTGGTCGAAATTTTATTAAATGATTAAAGTTGTTTATATCAACTATTATTAAAAACGACATTCTATATAAGTATATTAATAGTTGTAAACACATTATAAAACCCATATTAATACACAATTCGCTTGATTTTGTTATTAATTTCACTTATTAAACAATTTAATATTCTTTCATCACTTTTTGCTTAAAGTCTTTAAACCGTCGCGAACAATATCTATTATTAATATGTTATATACCTACACTCATTGTTATTAAATCTTTGCAGGGGGAGCTCAATCTGAAAGTTTCCGAAATAGAAAAGGTTACTTGTCCTTGAATGTGCAAATGGTATGTGATGCGAAATTGTGCATAAGAAATATCATTGCAAGATGACCAGGTTCTGTACATGATAGTACAATTTTTAACTACTCACCATTGTGTGCCCAATTAGAGTGAGGATATTTTACCCCTATGGTACTTCTGGGCGATAGTGGTTATCCATGTCGCCCCTATTTGTTAACCCCAATTTTAAATCCAAGGACACCAGCTGAAGAAGCATATAACCGTTCACAAATTAGAACCAGAAATACAATAGAAAGGCTCTTTGGTGTTCTTAAAAGAAGATTTCCCTGTCTCCACTATGGGTTAGGTCTGAAGACACAAATATTCCACCTATTATTGTGGCATGTGCAGTACTCCACAATATTGCTATTTTAAGGCAGGATGAAGTAGTTGAAGAGGATGATCCTTTAACTATTGTAGAGGAAGAAATTATAGTACAACCCAGCAATGAAGTAAATCAAAACTTTATTGTGAGGACATCGTTAATAAATACATATTTTTCTGGTTAATTTTTATTTTTTTTTATTTTAAAATCAATTCTTTACAACATAACGAATAATAAAAACAATATTCAGTCAAAAATTTGCTATATCACAGTGTAGATTCATGAAAATACAGTAACTTAACATAATTATTCTGTGTGTTTGTCACTGAACTCCTAAAAGGCTGGACCAATTTGGATGATTTTGTTTTGTTTGAGTCCCTGGATGGTTTAAATTCTCAATTAGATCTGTTGTTGAGATCCAGAAATCACCCATAATAAAAAATGTGACAATGTGGTTGTCGATTTTCAAATAAAACTTTGATAGTATAGAATAGAATAATTTTTTATTCAATATTGATTATTACATAATACTTATTGAAAGTCATTTTTTATTTACCACTGGTTCGGAAAATACCTCTGTCCTGGGAAGAACCAGCAAGAAACCCAGCGGGACTCTTTTTTTAAACATATTTCACTTAACAATAATTTCATTTATATAATTTTTAAATGATTTTTCATAGAACCAGCATGGTGGCGATCACATTATTCCCAGGGGTTATTTTCATTCATGTATTCCTTGATATTATAATAACCCTTTTTGTACAGTTTTTCTTTAATAAAACTTTTAAACTTGTTTATTGACAAACTTTGAATATGTTCTGGGATGTTGTTGTAAAAGCGTAAACATTGCCCCATAAATGAATTACTGATTCTGTGGAGACTAGTAACTGGACATTGTTTTACTCTAATATGTAATTGACAGAGTTTCTGCTTAAGGCAAAAAAGTATCTTACAATGACCCTAATCGGACTCCTGCATTTTTTTTAACCCGCATTATGCGGTTTACAATTATTCATAAATGGAAATAGTTTATAATCACCTACATTATTTATTACATCCGGAATCTTATTTTATAATGTAATTACAAACTTAAATATTATATATACTAAAAATCAAATAATTATACATTTATTTAATTAAGTTATGTTTAATAATAAGAGGTTTAAGTAAGTTTATAATTATGGCTGAGGACTGGAAACATTTACTAACAAAAGATAAATTATACAATGTCAGTCTTAAATCTAAATATGTTACAGTAATAAAATAAAATATTCATAATATAAACTAATTCTTTTTCCCTCTTGCAATTTAAAAGTTAAATTTATTTATTTAAATAACATAATATACAATATTTTATATTTTATTATATACAATATTAAAAACTATAATAAAAAAAAATTATATTACATAGCTTCATAATGACTTGAAATGTGCTGTACCCCGCATCTTTCCCTGAAACAATCATTTATGACCTAAATAAAAGCACTTTACTCTATAAATGAAATATTGTCACATAACTTCCCTGGATTTATTCCATATTGATAAAAATTGTATATAGTCTTTATGCTTTGACAGTTGACAACAACGCCGCAGAAATATTTTCCTTTATAAATGAGTATTATGTCTGAAATCAAAAAATAATTATTACAATAAATGTCTTATATATTTACTGAACTTTTTGTTGAAATTTGTAAGCCAGAATTGGCCTTTAAATAACAAAATAAATTAAGTTAAATATACGTAGCTTTTGACAGTTGAAAATTTTTGACTAATAACTCTAATTCTTTTTCTGTCTGGAAGCTTGTAACCTATTTAATTTTAATTTTAAAATTTGTATTTCTAATTTATATTTATTTAGCTCCATTTTGTTTTTGTTTATTAAATATTTATTTTCTAATTTGGCATTTCTTAGTTTTGCTTTAAAATATTGTTGTTTAATGGTTTCATGTAATTTCCGTTTTGTTACATTATGTTGGTGTACTGAAAAATGTTTATCTAAGGTTAATTTACAACTTTATTAACAAAAAAACAGTGTTTAAAAAATCATATATGAATATATATATAATTTACATTATTCATTAGCAAAAATATAATTTTTACCAAGATATTACTCGACCTCACTAATGTCACATAATATATATTAATAATTTATTCCATAATGCACAATTGATGAAAAGTAAAATTAAGTCCTTAATACCTTTTGTACCAGATGTTATTGTATGAGGTTTATTGCTGTTCTGCTCAATATAGTCATTTGATAAAAGTGTTTGATGGTTACCTAAAAATAAAAATTAGTATGAAAATATGTATCTAAAAAAATATAGTAATATAATATTTACCGTAATTGCACTGTCATCCTTATTTACATCATTCACTGTTAAAATAGTTTCTATGTTCTCAGAAATCAATTCTGTGTCACCTGATAAACAATAATTAATTTAATTTCTTATTAAAGATCTAAATTATAGAGATTAAACAAACTAACCAAAATAAAATGCAGCATCATCAAATGGATTTTGCAGTGGTTGCACCTGTGGAGCAACCATTGCTAAAATCTGAGCATCTTGCTGAGTTAGAACTGATGTATAGGATCCACCACCAGTAGAAGTTATTTCTTTCTATATAAAAAAAATTACTTAATAGGTACTTAACCAATTATTTTCAAGATATATGGCAATATATACCTTATCTATTGATGCCTTTTGTTCGCGCCAAGCGCTAATGTCAAGAATCGACGCCAGATGGCACTCAGCTCGGCGCGATACGGGTTTTGACGTCCGTCGAGCGGTGGGTGTTGAGAACGCGCAAGGGCGAAAATGGGGAATCGTTTGCCAGCTGTGCTTGGGATAGCACGCTGTCATTTTTTTGTTCGGGGATGTGGAATTGTGCACGCGCGCGTCGAGTAGATATACGGTCTAGGGTTCGAACCGCGCATTCCTTGTTCGAGAGCTTCTCCCGGTTGATCATCAGGAAA